TTTTTTTTTTTTTTTTTTTTTTTTTTTTTTTTTTTTTTTTTTTTTTTTTTTTTTTTTTTTTTTTTTTTTTTTTTTTAATGTTTGGTGGAAACTACGAAATAAATCTAAATTTTCAAAACCTGAAATTAAAAAATGATGAACAATATAAATAAACTTAGAATCTTTCATAACGAACCTCGTTTCATGGCCTTGGTAATAGAAGCAATCAACATTGTGAATGCACCATTGTCATGCATTTATGTATGTAATGTGTATCGGGATAGTTCCCCCTTGTGTTGCGTTAGTACGGACGTGTACCTTCAATATTTATGTTCGCCATGATATCATGTTGGACTTTTCCTCCATGGTGTCTAGCGATGCATCAACGCGTTTAGCTTGACGAAGCAAGGCCTAGGGGGTACATTACGAGCCTGCTTGGTGAGCCAATGTGTGCGTGCGTGGACCGTGTGTGGAGAAGTACAACACATCCATGCCTGGATTGGAAAGAGTTCAAGGTCATGCTATGTTGTTTTAAAGTATAGGTCCCATCATGTATGTGTGTGTTCGCATTATCCATCCCCAAAACTGGGGTAACTTATTGAGTATTTCCTAAAATACTCAAGCCACATGCTATCCTTATTTTTCAGGTAAAGGTAAAGTGTACTTGAACGGATGACGGTGAATGTTGGAACGCCCATGAAAGCTAAGATAGGACAATAGTATGCATTGTTTTCAATTAGTAGTCTTATAGGTGGTTTTTCATTTTCGTACTAAAAAAATTATTTTAAGGTCTTAATCTTTGTGATGTTATTATTTTTATTTATGATTTTATATTAAACATATAAGTCCATGACTTCCTTTGAAACGTTTTATTTAGATTTTTACACATGTTATTAAAGACATGCATGTAATAACGTCTTTGATGTAGGCAAGAAAATTAGGGGCATTACAAGCATGTTATTATCCCAAAACTTTCTAATGTATTGTAAAGAGGAAGACATCAAGCATCTACTCACCGCGACATATACTCCACAACAAAACGGTGTGGTTGAGCGAAGAAACCACAGTGTAATAGTAAGAATTTTATTCAAAAGTATGCAGGTCCCAATGGTTTTCTTGGGTGAGACAATACAATATGTGGTTTGTCTTCTAAACTTTTTTTTATTTTTATTTTTTATGGCAAAGGCATTGGACACTTGCACCCCGTATGAAGATTAGTTTGATAAGAAACCTCATTATGAGCATCTTATAGTTTTCGGTGGTACAACATATGTCAAGACTGCAAAACCGCATATAAAGAAGTTTGATGATAGAAGTCAAAAAAATGGTGTACTTTAGCATGAAGGATAGGACTAAGGCACACAAGCTAAATGATCCTTAAGATGAAAAAATTCATATTAGTGGAGATTGACGTATTTGAAGAAGAGAAGAAGTGAGATTGGTGTAGCATTAGTGACAACAAAAAGACTATTGTGGAGTGCACAACTCTAGAAGATGAGTCTGATGTAGCAGACTTAGAAAATGCATCGACACTGACACCAACACCAACAAATGCACACATGTCATTACTGGTGACACCAAAAGGCGTGACGAGTTCTCCAGAACAAGGAAGCTCAATGAAGAGCACAAAAGAATCCATAATAGATGGTGGACCAAAGAATTTTCATTATCTCACTAGAATTTATGCAGATACACTTGAAAAAGAGTTAGATCCAAACAAGCTGTTTTGATCACGGTTGAGGAGATGACAACCTATTTTGAGGCAACAACTTAGACGGAGTGGCAAGAGGCCATGCAAAGATGTGGATCCCATCGACTTACTGTCTAGTCACAAGGCCCTCAGTTTGAAGTGGATGTTTAAGTTGCAAAAGAATAGTGAAAAGAACGTCATTAAGCACAAGGCAAGACTCGTGGCGAAGGGATACATACAGCAACAAGGAGTTGATTTTGAGGAGGCCTTCTTGCCCTCGTAGCTCAACACGATGGGAGGTTCATGACTTAAAAAAATGTCAAATCAACGTTCCTAAATGGTGGACTCCAAAAAGAAGTGTATGTTGCCCAACTTGAAGGTTTCTCCATCAAAATCATAGAGCACAAAGTGTACAAGTTATCAAAGACCCTCTACAGTTTATGACAAGTATTGAGGGCGTGAATCATACAACTGGACGAGAGCTTGAAGAATCTCAATTTCATGAAATGCTTGAAGAATCTCATTATTAGCTTGTACGTTAGACGATTTGATTGTCATCAATAAAAGTGTGAAAGACATCGAAGAGTTCAAATAATTGAGATGAACCGACCTCGGGTTATTCACTTCTACCTCGGTATTGAGGTGTACCTAAAGAAAAATTGCATCATGCTAAAGTAATGGACCTATGCTGAAAAGGTGCAGCAACAATTTAAGATGGAAAGTGCAACTCGGCCAAGTATTTCATAAAAGTGAGGTTACAGCTTGGGAAAGACAATGAAGGAAGCTTGATGAATCTCATCGAGTATAGGCATATCTTCGAAAGTCTAAGGTACTAGACTTACCGGTGTGCAAATATTTCATATTTTATTGAAATGATGAGTAAGTGATGCATCATCAAGCAGTCATGCACATTCTCTGCTGCAATGTGAAGAGAACCATAAGATACAAGCTAAAGTATCAAAGAGGGTGAGAACATGAAGAATCAATCAATTTTACCAATATTGATTTAGCTGGAGACATTAACGATAGAAAAAGCACCCGAGGATTGATATTTTATATCTACATAAATTTATTTACTTGACCATCTCCGAAGCAGTGAATTGTGATACTATTTTCCTATGGGGCCAAGTTCATGGCACCAACTGTGGCATCATGCCAAGCATTGTGGTTGAAAAACTTGTTGAGCAAAATGATCGAAAGTGAGCTAAAACCAGTAATTCTATATGTCAACAACAAATCTATGGTTACGTTGATGAATAACTCAGTATTTCATAGCACAACAAACACATCAACACTCACTTCCACTTTATTCGTTAGTGTATCGAGAAGTAACAGATTATTGTGGAGTTTGTTCGATACTACTAGGGTGGACCTCTTAGTTATAATTCAGTAGGCATACATGTGTAGAGCTCTTTCCATATTTATGAATTTGTTCGATACTAGGCATACGATCACCGATTTAAGAACGAAGGCTCCTCCATATTTATGAATTTACCCTAGAGCTCTTTCCATGGGCCATGGTGACTCAAGGTACAAGGTTGATGATGGACCTAGGTAAACGTAAAACATAGAGCTAAGAGGAATGTATAGGGTTTATTTACGTATAAGCTTGAAAATACTAGCACAAACTAGAGCTACAATATTCGCTAAGGAGTATATAGCTGAGCACATAGCTTAATAATATATTATAAGGAACAAGTACGATTAGAGACTACAAATAGGTAGCTTACTGAGTATTTTAGTACTCATTTTAGCTCTACTTTATTTTTCAAGTGGCGAATAGAGCACTTATCATTGTGGGAACATGTTGGCTTGTGCGACTATTGAGGAGGCTCGTCGGCTTGTGTCTTATTTTATTTGTACATGGCTTTTGTAAACCTCTATCTTTTGTAAATGAACTTTATATTTAAAGTGGTACATGTGCACATATGTTTGACTTGTTTTGTTTTAATGTATTTATTGTCTTTATATCTTTTGTTTTAAATTCACAAATTTTACAGTATTTTTATTTTTGTGTCAACGTTATGGTCCGTGATTCAATGAGTTAAAAGGGGTCGGTTATATTGACCTTGTGCTTGAGTTATAGTGAAGAAGATTTTATGGAAGAGACTCAACCGTTGTAGAAGCTGGAGCAAGTAGATTAAGTACTCATTAGAACTTTCTCGATATTTCTTCCATGTAAATTTGAAATATCTATGTGAAGCGTTCATTCTCAACAAAATGTGGCTCAAGGATCAAGGAAAGATAAGACGGATGCTAAAGCTTGCTAATTGGTCATACGCATCCTCTAAGGCGCAATACATCTAGTCCATACGTAAATCGGACATACATAGATATTTCAACTTCCTAACATGCTTCTAAGGACATAACTGACATTAAATCATAAATCATACATTTTCTCACATCATACAAGCCTATCAAGCAAGGTACGGTAAATCACATTGTGTCATAATCCTAATGAAGCATTTAAAATCCATTAGAGTCAACTTTTGTATCATATAAGTTAAAAAACATGCGGTCAAGCTAAACCATTGATAATTCATATTAAATCATATGCATTTAATTCATATGGTAGGAAGAATTTAAAAATAAATCTTAACAACTATAAAAACTAAATCATTAGTTTTATATTATATAGATTTAATTTTTTTAAAAAAAATTGATTGAATGGATTTAAAATTTGTATATGAAAAATTGGATTTGACCATGAACATGAAGATGAACATGAAGATGAACATGATGAACATGGAGAG